CTAAAAGAGGTTGTTGTTTACCATGATTACAAAACAATTTGTTATCAAATTAAGCTATGAACAATCAACTTCTTCCTAAAAGACTCCAAAAGTTGATTACTTATAAACACAAAATTCATGTCAAGTTTCCATTTTAATCTCACCAAAAATTGTGTTTATGAAGTGGATGCAGACCCTCTGGTCCTGAGCCACCAGCTGAGTGATGAGGGAGGTGTATCTTACAAGAGCATCTCGGAAGCAGGACACTACATGCTTCTTGCGCACCAACTTGAGGAAGGAGAAAAATATTATTAATATTTAATTAATTTACAACCATCTTTCAACCATGCTGAAGACAAGCAATTGTGGTTCCCCTCCAAATACGCAGGAGTGGCATTCACTTCATAAATAACATGACTCCGGAAGCCCTATGAACTTTGATAAATGTCAATAGTTGTAGAGGGGCTTCAGGCCTTTTGTTCATAGAGTCGCTATGAGTCGTGCTCGACTCAAAGGCAAACAACAACAACAACTTGAGGAATCATCTAACCTATTGTGAAACAGATACTGAAAGCTCTAGAAGAGTACTGCTTATACACAAGGATCCACATGGGCTGAGGTTTCTAACATTTTATATTTGGTAGCACTTTTGTTTACAAATCAGGGTTTTTTTAATCTGCTAGTTCATATAATTGGAAGGAGGAGTGGCATCCACCTCCATAATAGCTTGCCTCCGGAAACCCTATGAACCTGGAGAGAGGATGAGAGACACCCAAGCGTTGAGGACTCTCCTTCATAGGGTCGCTGTGAGTCGCCTGCGACTCGATGGCACTTAACAACAACAACAGTTCATATAAGGATAACAGGTGGGTTAAGCAAAAATGGCTATTATCACTGTCATTTTGGAAATGTGAAAGCTAAGGCAAAGAGATTTCCCAAGCACTCAAATCTAAGTCTACTCTTGCCCATGGTCAGCACTCTTCCCACTTCAACAGTCTAAGGAAACCGTGCTAGGAACTTTTTAACTTCTTTTTTGGTGCCGAAACCCAGGACCGAAGGAACTCTGTAACTTCTAACACAAGAACCTCCCAGAGGTAGTTCTATTGTAGCTAGGTGCTGTTAACTCTGACTCAATCCTATTCTGTGAACAAGAGATCAAAATCTTGCTCAATCCTACACAACCCTCACATAAAGGAATGCTCTGGAATTCCCATTATTCTCATCATTAGCCATTTCTTATGATTCACACAGTCAAATGCCTTTGCATAGTTAATAAAAAACAATGGTAAAAAAACCCTTTTTAAGTATTTTCTGTTTTCCATAAAGACCTATCTAACATCAGCAATGTTATCCCTCATTCCACATCCTCTTCTGAATCCAGGTGGAATTTCTGTGAGCTCCCTATCAAAACACTGCTACAGGAATTTTTCAATAATCTTCACTAAGATTTCACTTGTGATACTATGTTATTGTTCGATAATTTCCTCTTCTGTTGGATTACCTTTCTTTTTCATTTTAATGGTTACAAATGCCAGTCTCTCTTAGTTATTGGTCAGGTCTTCCAAATTTCTTGGCATAAGTGAATGAACACAATCAGCACTGCATGTGTTTGCTGAAGTTTTTTTTTTTAAATTCCTGGAGCTTTCTTTTTCACAAAGAATAAATATTTCAAATAATATTCACCTTCAGTGAAGCTTTGACTTCTTCCTTTAGTATCATTGGTTTATAATCATATACTACTTCCTGAAATGGTTTGGTGTAAACCAACAGAGGTGTTGTTAGGTGCCATTCAGTTGACAACTCACAGTGACACTATGAACAAATGTGAGATTTGCCCTATTGTGTGCCATCTTCATGATATCCGATATGCTCATTGTTATCATCACTGTGTCAATCCATCTTGTTGAGAGTCTTCCTCCTTCTTTGGCCCTCTTTTTTTTTTTAATTATTTGTGTGTGTGTGCCGTCAAATCAGATCTGACTGGTACAGGAGGAGATTGTTCCTCCTTCTCCAGCAGAGCATCTGGGGGATTTGAACCACACACCTCCGGGATTACAGTGCAGCTTCTTGCCACTAGGCCATCAGAGCTCACCGGCCCTCTACCTTTCCAAGCACGATGTATTTTTCCAAGGACTAGCTCCTCCTTAGCATATCCAAACTATATAAGACAAAAGTTTCACCGTCCTTGCCTAGGGAGCACTGTGGTTGCACTTCCTCCAAGACTGACCTATTCCTTTGGCAGCCCATGGGATGGATATTCAGTACGGTATTCGAACACCACAACTCAGAGGCATATCTCTTGTGAATGGCCTATTTCTTATGTAATCTGTACTCATCATCCAGTTTTCAGATGCACAGGAAGCAACTGAAGATAACATGGTTTGCATCCAACGTACCTTAGTCTTTAAACTTACATCACTGTACTTTGGAGAGGTCTTTGAGAGCAGCTTTTCCCAGTGCAATATGGCTTTTCATTTCTCGACTGCTACTACCATGGATGTTGATTGTGGAGCCAAATAAAATTAAAATATTGACTATTTTTTGTTCCTCTAGCATGGTGATTAATAACCTATCTGCCAGAGGGTCAGCTATGAGTCAGTTCCAACTTGGCACATAACAACAAATCTTGATGTTGTTTATTGGTCCAGTGATGATTTCTCTTTTCTTGATGTTGGAATGTAATCTGAATTGGGGGCTATAGTCTATGATATTCTTCAGTGATTCAAACTACAAGCAAAGTTGTTAAGTCTGCATAACGCATTGTTTGTACTTCCGAAAGTCTTGAGTTCTATCTTCTTCATACAGTCCAGCTTCTCAAATTGTTTACTTAGTATACAGACTGAATAGGCGCAGAAAAAGGATACAACTCTAACACATACATTTCCTGGTTTTACATGAGTGTCCTCTTGTTCTGTTCAGCCAATTGTTTCTTGATATTAAAGAAAAATGTGCTTTTCTGTTCAAGTGGGCATAAACCCTCAGTCTAAAGTAACTGACCTATAAAGCTAACTGGGAAGTAATTGTGCAAAGCACACAAGACAGCAGCAAAAGGTAGGTGGAGAAATGGGCGAGCAATGAGACTAGAACTTGAACAAATGTACAGTTGATCACATCACTACCTGTAGGACGTAAGACTATACAGCTGATCACATCACTGCTATCATAGGGTAAGACTAAGAAAGTACATTCAATAAAAGATAGAAAAATTGCTGCTTTATCTATACACTGAAGTTCTCTGTTTTTCCTTCAATTTATCCTACTTAATAGGTTAAGCTAGTGGTCTAAATGAGCTACTAAAAAACCAAAAATAATCTCACTGACTCTTTTACCTGATAACGTCCAATTTCTTAGTTTGGATTCTGGTTCCAATCTAGCACTCCAATTTTATTTCCCTCAACCTCCTTTCAAACAAAATTCAATTAATTTGTATAATCCTCCAAATTCATTCCTGCTAATACTTGATACCTACTGTAGTCAGCTCTCTCATCTGTCAGAACAAATCTCACTCAACTTCTCAACACTGATTCAAATCCTTCTTCTTCTAAGAAATCTTTACTAATTTCCCTTAAACATGGATCTGCCCTTGACCACAAACAGCATGTCCATCTTTAAAATTTTCAGTAATGTGTTCTCTCATCCCCCCCCAATGTACTGTCTTATTCACCTGTATTCCCCTTTCTCATTGTCTAATAGTAGTCTCAGAATATCTGGCCTTGGTGAAACCTCAGATATTATTAATTAGCCCAGCATATCTAGAGGGGCTTTGGAGGCATAGTATGTAGTAAACTGTGCTAACTCAAAGGCTCTGAGTTTCCAATGGTTTTACCCATCAGCAGCTCCCTAGAAGATAGATGGGTAGCCTCCTCTCATGAAGGCGTCTTCTCTCAGAAACTTGATAATCACCGAGTTAGAATCACCTTATTGGCAATGGATTTTTCCTGAAAGTGTGGGAAACCTTGAGGATTCTGTTTCATGGATCCACCAGATCAAAATAACATCCATAATAAAATTATTTGCTTTTCCCACAAGTGGAATTTCCTTACGGTGGAATTTTCCCAAGGCTACATGAGATGTGGCATCACAACACAATGAATACAAAAATCTATGTTGTTATGTACTGTGAATTTGGAACCAACTCAGCTGATCCTCTAGCAGGTTTTCAGAGGGAGACTGCTCATCTTTCTCCCTCAAAGCAGCTGGTAGATTCAAACCATTTACCTTTGGGTTGGCAGCACAATTCCTTACCATTAAGCCACCAAAGAAAGGTCCCTATGAAATACATGAGAACTCAGTGATTTACTATAAAGCCATACATTCAAGAGACTTCCAAAAATGTAGAAATAGTATCACTCCAACGGGATTCCAAGGCTGTCAATCTTTACAAGAGGAGAGACTGTCTATCCTTCTCCAGCAGAGTGGCTGACGATTAAGTTTAGTTAGGAGCACGACACCTAACATACTATGTCGCCAGGGCTCCTTTGTAAAATATGGTTATATTTTCTAAAACTAGCACCCACTTCCCAAACAACAGAGTTCCAGAGTTGCCCTATGAACTTTGAGAAACTCTGAGAAATGACAACAGTTCATAGAAAGGCTTCAGGTCTTTCGTTCACAGGGTCGCTATGAGTCCTTCTCAACTCGAAGGCAATCAACAGTAGCTATCAAATAAATAATTGCCCACTGTTTTAATGACTTAATAGTTTCAAAAAGCTTTTTCAGTTCTATTACATAAAATATAAATGGCTACTTTAAAAACCATGTGGAACAGATTCTGAGTCACACTAAGTCTACAGGACTCTGCAGAACTGGCCCACAAGGTTCCAAGATTGTAAATGTGGAAGCAGCTTTGCCACCGGACCAACTGCTGACATTTCTGGGAGCTGAGTGCTTTGACCACTGTACCACCAGGACGGCTTTCAACAGCGATCACCCCCATCAACAGTAGGTTTTGGAGGTTCTCTTTTTTTTTTTTAATTCTAAGGCACCCCATGATCCGAAGGCCTGGGAACCACTGTCCTACCAACACCTCCACCTGACCCGAATGCCCCTGAGCCACGGCTCCTGGAGGTCTCCAGGGAGGAGAACCCCGAGTCCCCGGGGGTGCGGGGGCCAGGCGGCCATGGGGTCCGGCCAGCTCCATCACAGAGGTCTTCTTCACCCACTCCTCCCGTCACCCTGCCCTTCACTGAGACACCCAGGACACCCCAGGGGGGAAATAAAACCACCCCGCAGCATTTAGCAGCGACCAGCGAGGGCTATCGGGGCTCTGGAAGAGGGGGTGCCTTGACTTGGAGCGACCCACGGGGCAGATGGGCCCGGCCAAGGCAGGCGCAGGCGGTCGGTAAAGAGGCCCGCGGAGGCCGGGCAGGGGAGGGCGGGGCCTAGTCTAGGGG